TGACAACCTTAATTGGTGTATTGGTCTTAACGTTGATAACATGGTGCTCAGTATTGTTGTGATGAAAGAATTCTGTTCAGACATTAGGTCATTTGCAGAATTAGGCATAATTGTAAGATTTTTTTCACCTATAACGTTTTCTAAAAATTTAGCTGACATGATTTGAGCTAATTTACTTAGAAAGCCCTCATGCAAAAGTGACCAAGACAAACCAATATTGATAGCATAGGATTGTGATCGTATTATTTTCCTGCTGTCCTTCAGGAGTTGCGAGACTGTCATTTATTGTGGAAAGAGAAATAAATTGACAGTATATTTATTGTGGAAAGAGAAATATTACTTATATTAATTTTAGGGTGTTTGCACGTTTTAGCGGTCTGGTAAGAATCCATCTTGTTGCGAGTTAATAGGAAGTTCCTTATTTTTGTTTTTACGTTTTGCAACTCTCTTATTAGAGATTTTACGCATGACAGTTATTGTAGAGATTGAATGTGAATAAAACTTAACTTATGCCTTAGATGATGAGCTTCTTTCCAATAAGTGTGTGTGTGTATTTAATTATTGCAAAGCACACTAGGGCTATCTCCCTAAGGGGAGGGATGCCTTCATGGAGGACTTTCCAAAAAGAGAAATCTATTTCTTTAAAGCGTCGATAGTCGTAGTATCAGTCAAGGCAGAAAATCTGTTAGACAGGACTTGTAAAACGATCATCATTTTATCGTAGTTATTGTCCAGTTCCTCATTACATCAATTCTTCGGAATCATTGTCTGTAGCCGAGTTTTCATCACTAGCCCAGTCGTCGTGAGCTACGTTAGATAAAGGTCGCCCTCAGGTGAGGCTTTACAGTCCGACTCCCACATAAGCAAAATGGAGAGCTCCTTCACGCACAACGGCTGATGATGAATTGAAATGTTTACCTATTTACATCTCGAATACAATTTTTTACGGTATGCACTAGTCATTTGCCACTGCTAAGGCCAGAAGCAGTCGTCATTTTATTATGGAAGCACTAATAGGCGGCCATCGTTACCTCCTATGAAGGGACAGTTCCCCAGGAGGAAGGAGACCCTCAGACCTGGCAAGTTCTATGGGTGCCTTAACACAGTTAAACGTCTCGAACCATCCAGAGGCAATCCAAGGAGGCCTCAACCCAGGGGGACGACTTTTGTTTCATAAATTCTGGTTTTAGAAACACAAGTCAGCAGTGGACGGCCACGCATCCACCGGGGAAAAAAGGTACAAAGTTTAACATCTACCCAGTACTGACCAAGGGGAGCCAAACCGTCAAGGACAACTCTCGATGTGAAACCACGTAACGTCCCCACAACAAGGGACAGAGAAGGCAGGACCATATGATCCCTGTCGACACTTAACCTACCACCGTATAAACGATTGTTCTAGTCACTGTGAAGTGTTCTAGTCACTGTGAAATGTTCTGTCTCCAGAAGTTGAAGTATTCTAGCCAGTTCCAGTCGACCCTCAAGGTTGGTAATTAGAACATAGGCCAACCTGGTTACCAGCAGGGCCATGAGGAGACCTATGTTGGATTAGGACAGCAAGAAGCTACATACTGCGCGTCACTGCCACGTAACTAAATATCCACTCAGAAGGGTCAGACTAGATCCCGGGTTTCCTCCCAATAAATATTCTGTTCCGGAAATCCGATCCAACCCCTCCTCAAGGAAGTATAACTACTTCCGCCCCTATGAAGGGACAGATTATTTATATCCATGCCTTCTCTGGGATTCGAACCCGTGCTCCTTGGTACCGTCTGGGCAGCACCCGAATACAAATGGTATAGTGAATATTAAAAAAGTATGGCAACACTTTGTAAATATAAACATTGATCAGTTAGTGCATCCACTCCAAATACACTTTTTTCCCTCTTCGCCCTCTCTAATATAAGAGTGATAAGGCATAGTTATTATTGATAAGCCAGAGTATATATTTTTTTCAAGTAAAATTAGATGTTTTAGCAAATTTTAAAATATTTTTTGAAACTTAATTACTTATAGTTTAAAATTTTTTATGTGAAAATTTAATTACATGATGTTATAGTGCAATCTCGAAAAACATTTTGTTTTACTAAATTTATGATTTCAGTTGATAATTTATCAAGATGCTATTCTGAATTTGGTAGTCTAACACATCTCTTTCGGAGGTAATTACTTCGAATTAAAATTACATTAATTTTAACGTTGAAAAACTCAACATTAAAAAGTAGTCACGTTCAAATTTAAGCCGAATAGGATATTTAAAATTAGAAAAGTGGAAAACTTATAAGAAAAATTGATTTTATAATAGGTATTGAAAGATAGGAATCATTTATCTTTTCCAAAATGGGTTTCTAATGAAAATATAACAAGATACTGAATTTATTGAGAAATGAGATGTTAAAGTGTTCCTTTTGAATATAAGCCGCATTCTAAGTCTTAAAAATCTGAACAAAACATGAGGCTAAATTAAAGTGACCACACGTCCCGATTTTGGCGGGACAATCCCGCTTTTTCGAGGACTGTCCCGCGTCCCGCCGATTTTTAATATGTCCCCGCTTTTTAGAAAACATCTGCATTTCTCATTTTAAATGTACTGTAAATATATATTGCCTGTTATTTATTAATTATTATAGTGAATATAAAGAAATAAAAAAACCACATAAAATGCATGCAGAGTAAACTAAACTAGGCGATGTAACGAGCTAGATTTACTCGTTGGTGTTCGATCATTGTCGTTACGTCCCGTCAAGGAATATGTATTTTTAACGGAGGAACAGCTAAAATTAGCTGAAGGGCTATTTGATTTCCACACCATAAACCACAATCAGAGTTTCAGATCAATTGATTGTACGTCACAAATGATCGAAACATTGTACGACAAAAAATTTGCACATGCAAGGACAAAAACCGAAGCAATTATTTGCAATGCTTTTTTTTTTTACCATATTCGTTTTCACAACTGCAGAAAGAATTAGATTAAATGCACATTTATGTCCATATATTATGATGCTTCCAACCACAAAGATTTAAAATTATTTCCCACAATTGTTAGACTTTTTGATCCAAAAACAGGAATTAAAATTAGAATATTAGATTTTGTTTCATTGCCGGGTGAAACTTTTTTTTCCCCCAATGGCAGATTGTGAACAGTTACAGCTTTGTAACAGAATCCATTAATCTATAAATAAGGCTAGACGTGATGCTCTCTTTATTATGGAGGCACCTAATAGGTGGGCCACCATTGTCTCCTATGAAGAGACAGTAGACAGTTACAACCATGCTTTTCTTAGATTTGAACCCAGGCCCTTCGGTATGGCAGTCAGGCTCCCCTAACTACTATACCGTCTGAGCGACTGCCGAGTGAAACTTCATAAATAATTTTTGATTCAATAAATACTATTTTTAAAAAGTTAGGTTAGGTTAGGTTATTTAATTACGGCAAAGCCTCGAGGGCTATCTGGCTAAGGGTAGAGATGCCTTCGTGAAGGACTTTATAAGGAAAACTGGCTCGTATACACGTTACACATAGGGAAAACCACGAAAACACCCATGCAGCCAGCCCGTTCGCGGGATTCAAAACCAAACAGCATATGACTTACTCTCAGTGGATGTTGAAAATATTATTTCAAAAATTGTTTCGTATTTATATATATATATATATTGTACGTGTCGAAAGTTTGAAGGAGTTTTGTGAAAGCGCAGAAATCGAATATAAAAGAATTATTGGTTACAGCAAAACACGATGGCTGCCTCTTTTACCAGCTGTAGAAAACATTTAAAAAATATATGAACCATTAAAATCATACTTTTTATCACAAGATAAATTTCCAAAAGAATATTGCAAATGTTTTTTGAAAATGACACATCACAAATTTGTCTTCAGTTCATCCACAGCCAAGCTACATTATTTCACAATGCTGTGAAAATTATTGAAGGGGACAAAATTTCAATTACGGAAGTGTCAAATGAAATCAATAATTTAAAAACAAAATTGCGAGAAAGAATTTTGATAACGATAACGTTCCTTTAGTTATTCGAAAGGACATCACTAGGTTGGATAAACAAGGTGCCATATTAAACGAACTGATTTTCTGAAAGGAGTCAGACATTTTTATAGTAACTGCTTCGAATATCTTGAAGAACGGGCAGTTCAATTCGATGATATTCAAAACTTTCATTGATCTTGAAGAACGGGCAGTTCAATTCGATGATATTCAAAACTTTCATTGGGTGACTTTGAAAAGGGAAATTTTATGGAATTTATCTTTTTAATATATTAGTAACCATTTTCCGAAGAATAATATTTGCGAAAATGATCTTTTTGATGAGGTGTCATTGGTAAAAAAATATGTTACTGATGAAAAAATTAAATGTTGGTTGTCTGCAAATGTGGAAACAGACAAAAAAAATGGATGGAGTTATTCCTTCATTTTAAACAGAATAATATTCCTTATGAAAATATTTTGAAAACTGTAGAACACGAGCTCTCGCTTCCAGAAATAAATGCAGCAACAGAAAGTGTTTTTTTTTTTTTTTTTCTAGTATCAATAAAATACGGACCATTGGAAAAACGCAGTTGAACATTAAAACTCTAAAATCTGTATTGAGCCTAAAATATAATTTAACCAGTTCATGTGAGAAATTTCACGACATTTTAATAAATGATTCGAATCTATTGCAAAGTATTCACTCGGATAAAAAATATAACCGTGAAAGAAATCATAATTTTTAAAATAAAATATTAAATTAATTAAAATATGATATTCAAATTATTGGTTTTTACAAATATTTTTATAGTTACCAATAGTTAATAATAAATATATTTTTGTATATTTATAGACAAATATATGAATGTTTACATAAAAATACATTTTTTGAATTATTGGTTTGTTTTCATAACTAAACTATAAGTCTCATTTCATTCCATTTGTCTCGCTTTGTCTCAATGAAAATGTGCTCACTTTAGACTAAATTGAAAGTATTACTGTATTTTTTTTTCGTTTGCGTTTAAGAATCGTAAGTGGCAGCGATTTTTGGCGATAACTTGACACGTTTAGGTTTTGTGATTGTGGTTGCAACATAAAGGGCTATTTTGTTTACGTAAGTTAAGAGGATTCTAAAATTTGTATAAATATCCCCCCTGAAATTTCTTAGATTAATTCAAAATAAATTGCTAAGTTACATTTCAGTGAGTCATTTGGAAACATGGCCTGTAATTCGCGTGAAGAACAAAATGAGCTTCGAGATATTGATGCTAATTGTTCTAAAAGTGAAAATAGTTGTAATAATATTTCAGAAAATTCTCGTTCAGTAGATTTCATGTCAGAACTAGAAAACGAAATATCGAATTTCTATAATGAAGTACATAAAATTCTGAAGGCGAAACGAAGAAGCTTAGAAGAGTTTACGAAGGTGAGTTTGATTTTAACATATTTGACTTTATGGAATTGTATTCGTTGAAATAAATTAGCGTTTAATCCTAGTATCCGGTGCACACGGGATTTGGCTACTTTTGGACTTTGTGATGAGCAGTAAAAACGGGACATGTACGATGAGTAGTAAACAGATCATTCAAAGAATATGTATAGTTATATAATATAGTATATATTATGTATGTACACATATAGTATATAGACGTTCTTTGGATCATTTTTGGTGTTGGCGATAATTTTCAAAATCACGCCAAGGTTGCACGGTATACTAGGATTTTAACCTAAATTAGAAGTAAAACGTTCTTAAATTGTTCACTTGATGGATGTACAAATATAAGTAACATTTTTTTAAATCTTAATAAATTTTGAAAGCTTGTCTTTATAAAACTATTTATTTCTGTATCCAACTCTTATTGAAAAGAAAAGAAAAAAAAAAAAAAAAGATTAAGCAGGAATATACATATCATTGTGTAATTGCACTGTATATATTTCATAAGTTTATTTTCTTTTAATGTTTCTTTTGTGTGTTGGGGGGGGGTTAAAGGGCACCGGGTCAAAATGTCATGAGTAACTTCGGAATGATCATTAAGAATGAACATAAATTCAATAATTTTCATTCCTAGAGTCCAGTTATTCTGGTTGTTAGAAAGGGTGTAATGCAGCTTAATTAGCAGCTGCCGAATATGAAACACCTGCAAGTTAAAAACTCTAATGGGTACGTGAGGGCGATAATGCTGTGCAATTTTTAATTTTTCTCTTGGATACTGGACGTTTGTCGAAAGAATACAACGGACAGCTTGTTAATTTATTTATTAGGATAATTAATATTTGTATTAAGGGATATTGCTTATTTCATTGCAATTTTTTTATATGTAATACATTTTTATTGAAATTTGTGTGCATGTTTTTCTTGTTTTTTTCTTTGTTTTTGATAAAGTTGTTCTGCAGAGTAAAATTCTGTGCAGTTTTTAAATTTAATGTTTGATGTTTCCTTTAGGCATTTTCCCGGTACATTTAAAAGCCAGACGAAGGCTGGCCGCATAGCAGCTAGTCGATAATAAAACCAATTCCAAATTAGGGCTTCCAGATGCCAATATTCTGTGTAAGATTACGTTATTCAAAATTTGAAGGCTGTAGGTACAGTCGTGTTATCAGTATGCGAGAAACATACATACATTTATGCCGATTCTTCATTATTTAATTTCTTTAAATATAACAGTGCGATAATATTTGGTAGCACCAATTTCAAAAGTGAACTGACATTTATAGTGAATCAATGCAAAATGCCAAAACGAAATTAATAGTCCTTCTGGCTTTAAAAAAAAAGGGGGGGGCTTTTTTTTTTAGCGTTTTGTTTGTTACCTTTATATATTAGTTCAAAGGGGCTTTGTCCCTGAACGAGTATTGTTTTGCGATTTTGCGTCGAATCATTATAAACGGCGTATCACTTTTCATATTGTTGCCACAAAATGTTAGAGTCCTGCAGTATATTTGAAGAAATTAAATAATGAAGAATCTCTATAAATGTATGTATGTTTCTCGCATTGTGATAAAACAACAGTACCTACAGCGATCCAATTTTGATTGACTTAATCCTACTACGAATATGGGCATATGAAAGCTCAAATTTGAAATTTGTTTTATTATCAATTTCATATTTTTTAAAAATTTAACGAATTTTTTATTAAGAAACTCAACGATTTAAAAGCGAGCGATGGCAACACTCTAGGGGGGGGGGAAGCCTTTTTGTCTTCAGCGCAAGGAACTGTGTATCGGAAATTCTAAAGATATGCTCATTTTAAAATTATTTTGCGACATTGCAGTTGAATTGAATTTTATGGTTTAAGTGCAGAGAACATAATGTTTAATAAATAGAGGTAACACAAAAAGCGTTAAAAAAAGTCCCTTTGGACGAAATTTAAAATCCGAAACCTTTCATGTTTTTTTTTTTTTTTTTTTTTTTTTTTTTTTTTTTTTTAATATTATGTTCTTTACACTTAAACCATAAAATTCAATTCAACAGTAATATCGCAAAATAATTTTAAAATGAGCCTATCTTTAGAATTTGAATTTTCGATACACACTTTTTTTTTTTAACCGTATATAGTGTTGTCATTTCCCGCCTTGAAATCGTTGAGTTTGTTAACCAAAAATTCGTTAAAGTTTTACAAAATATGAAAGAGATAATAAAACAAATTCCATATTCCAAATTTTGGCTTCCAGATCCATGTTCGGGCCAGATTCATATTCATATTTGGCCTTTGGATTCCAGATTTCATATTCGGGCGGAAACGTACGTTATTCAAATTTTGAAGGCTCTAGGTACCGTTGTTTTATCGCAATGCGAGAAACATGCATACATTTATGCAGATTCTTCATTATTAAATTTCATTAAATATAATACACGGCGATAATATATGGTCTCAACGATTTGAAAAGTGATACAGCCTTTTAAAGTTCTTAACGCAAAATGCCAAGGCGAAATTAATAGTCCTTCAGCGCAAATTGGCCCTTTGGACTAAAAACCAGGGTTTGCCTATGAAAACCTTTGGAACTTCAGAAATTGGCGACGTAGCAAAACTTCAGAAATTTGAAAAAAAAAAAAAAAAAAAAAAAAAAACCTCCAGAAATTGGGGACGTAGTTTGACAAAGAATGTTACGAGTATGATTTCCTGAAGAATGTTTATGTGCATGGTTGCCAAATCTTGACACATTATGGTAATATGGCGATTCTACTAAGATGGTTTCAAAAATACATAAGTACCCATTTCTAATGTGCTCTAGTGACAATTCTCTTTTTTTTCTTTTCTTTACTGAATAAGGAGCTACAGACAAAAGAAAGCTGTATCCTATTATCAGAGAGTTCAAGTAACATACAAACTCTTAACTGTCTTATCTTATTCTCGATAATTTTGCAGGGTACAATATGACGACTGGAGTTCATTGGCTAATTCTGCTGTGGGATCTGATTCAGTGATTGAGCACAAGTCGTTATCTATATTTACTGTTATCTCCAAATGATGGAATTTCTGTAAAGCCGAAATTAGCGGAAATCAAACTTTTGCTTGCTGTTATGAACTTGGTCGTTTTTGTATGTGCACTGCGAAAAACAAAAATAAATGATAAAAATCTGAGAGGTTTCAGATTTTAAATTACGTCCAAAAGGCGTTTTTTTAACATTTTGTGTGTTACCTTTATTTATTAAATATCAAGTTCTTCGCACTTAAACGATAAAATTCACTGAAAGAGCAATATAGAAAAATAATTTTAAATTGAGCATCTCTTTAGAATTTCTGATACAGTCTCACGTGCAACAAATAAAAATATTTTTTTTCTGTACAACGTTGCCATTGCTCGCTTTGAAACCTTGAGTTTGTTAATCAAAAAGTCGTTAAAATTTTACAAAATATGAAATCAATAATAAAACAAATTTCAAATTTTGTCTTTCACATGTCCATATTCGCCGTTGGATTACGTCATTCAAAATTTGATGGCGCTAGGTACCGATGTTTATCACAATGCGAGAAACATGCATACATTTGTGCAGATTCTTCATTATTTAATTTCTTCAAATATAAAGCAGGGCGATAATATTTGGTGGCAACAGTTTGAAATGTAAAACGGACATTCAGAGTAATTCGACGCAAAATCGCAAAACGAAAACGGTAGTCTCTCAGGGACAAAGCCCCTTTGGACCTAAAAAAAATGGTGGCTTGGCATATGCGGTCAAGAGCAGGAGACTGACGTTAATTACGGAACGGGAAAGTAAACGGCTGTGTCAGGGATCATAAGGGGAGATATGTTAAAAAAAAGTGTTTTTAGATCTCAGTATCAGTAGATCAGGAATAAAATCTTGAATGGAGCTCTCCTCTGTTTTTCACTGTAAGTCAGTAACGCGTACAAGGATGCACACGGTATCGGAATGGAGACAAATTACATAGGATACGAAAAGTTTTGAAGTGCTCTTTTACGTATTTATTAAAAGCTTAATAATTTAGTATGCACTTTTTGGTTTTATTAATAAATAAATAATTAATTAATAATAAATTTATTAATAAATTAATAAATAAGTTTTTTAATAAAATAGTACATAAAATATCAGTAATTAAAGTATTTACAACTATTTTAGTAATAGTAATAATTAGTAAATATCCATATCATTAATGTAATTAATGAAGGCATTTGAAACCAAATAGGATTTGCATTAATAAATTATAGTTAAGAATAGTGGCCCCCATTGTTCTGATTATTATTGGAATAATTTAAGATTAAATCCGAGTAGCTTAAAATGGTTTTTTGAGTTGGAAAAAACAAGAATATAACTCATTTTGATTCACCTTCTTTTCTTTATGATTGACGAATATCCGTTTGCCATACACGTGATCAAATAGGGAGTAAGTGTTTAATCCATAAGATAATAAGTATTGATTTACATTTCCATAACTACTTTAATAGGCTCCTAAGAGCAACCCCCTTAATTTTGACTCGCAGCTTTAATTGTAGACTAGGATATAAGCATAGGATCTACTTTAAACAATGGATTTTTTTTAAACACTGTGCAGTGACAATGCCTAGTAATAATAGTTTTAGAGTCACTAAGAATCATTTTCTGGATTCCCATACTGATTTTTTTTTCCAAGAGATATTAAAAGTTGCAATGACGAGTATGAGCAATGCATAATACATAATATATAAAACATAAGCATACCATAAAAGAAAAATGAACCCCAACAAAAGCTGATCGACTGTTATTGAACTCTAAAGAGGGGGTTATCAGAGGGAAAATGGCAATTAAAATTCCATTCAATTGATTTTAATTATTTATTTACTGTATCGATTTATTACTAATTGTAATGGATTGGAGTATTTGAATATGAATTAGCTGAATATTTAAGAAAAATGTTATGACTGCGAGAATAGAAAAAACATTTTTGAATATCTGCTTTCTTATAGAATCCAGATGAATTCATTTTTACTCAATGAAAATCAAATTAGTAGCTTATTAATCTGTCGTGTATCGAGTACCTTAGCAGTGATCCGTATTAATGTGCCCTTTTTAAAAAAAATTAATGCTTCAAGATATTAGAAAAGGACATTCTCTTTTTACCCTTAAATTCTACAATTAAAAACTGCTTTTCAGCTATAACCAGGTGAATATTCTCTAAATAATTCAAAGCATAAAGTAAAAGTTACAAAACGGCTTGAAATGGAACTAGCACTGAGTTTCTTTAAAATATGGTGAAGCTTACAAAAAGTCTACGAAGTGAGTAATTCCGTAGAATATTTCTACTCTTTATGATTAAATGCATTCAATTATACTTAATAAACGACATGTAAATTAATTTAACTATGTGTGGATGTGTGTGTGTGGCTTACTAGCAGCTGAGAGGTAAAGCGTGAAATTTGGCAGGTTGATTCGGGGTTCGAATCCGACGGGATGGCTGTATTGGCGTTTGCGTGGTTTTACGTGTAACGTGCGTAGAGTCAGTTTTGCTTAAAAAGTTTCCGCGAGGCGCGCCTTACCTTAGGCAAATAGCTGAATGCTTTGCTATAATCAAACAACCAGACCAAACATAGATATATAATAAGAAGCTTAAAAAAACTGCTATATTTTATGTATACTTTATAAGTAGTATTAAATATATATAATGATTAAAGAAAGGAAAGTCGGATCTTAACTGATGCAATAATGTAATCCTATAAATGCCTAACAATTCTTTCTCACTTAAGTCGTAAAGAACAAGTAAATTAAACTTCAGATATGTATAATACAAAAATACAAAATATAAAAAATTATATGTTTACAAAACTAACTACCATTTATATTGATATTACGTAACGATACGTATGGTAATGAACATGTATAATAAAGATATTCTTCTTTGATATTTTATACCTTGTTCTATATTTTGTTCCGTTTATATATACCTATACATAGATATATATATATTAAGGATTACATATTAACTACTACATATAAAACCCAAAAGTGCACCAAATTGTATTTTTAGGTATATTTAATTCATTCTGAAGAATTTTTTGAAGTCTAGTTTGCGTTATTTTATTCACAAGTCTCAAATAAAAAAAAATTAAATGTTTATATGTCATTAGAAATTACCAAAAGCAGGCGACCACAATGTAATTGAAAACAGTCCTTTAGACGTGAAAAGGTTGAAGGCCATTTGAATGAAGACTATTTTTTCAGATACTCAGCTACTTCGATACATTAACATAGCATTCGAAATGAAAAAACTCAATATTTACTACAATTTATTTATGTAAAAATATCTGTCTTTCTTACTCCATGGCTTAAAAAAAGATGTTATTTGCCTTACAGTTTTTCGCTCAATAATAAATTTTCATTGTACAAAATCCTTCATTAGAAAATTCAGTTTGTATTTTCCTTGTATTAAAACTGAATGTAGAGAAGTAACATGTTAAACGGCCCCCCCCACATTTTCTCAAGACCCCCCCGAGCAAGATTATCCCCTCCTCGTCAGCTCTCTCCCTGAAAAAAGGGATGGTAAATTTACGATCTGACCGCATATGAAGTGATTTAAAAAAAAAATACACTTCTATATCTCCTGTTCTACTCCGCCGATTGACGAAATTCAAATTGCGCTTTCCATGTCTCGAAAGGATATGTATTAGATAGTTTTATATATAGCTTTGTTCTAACATAGGTATTTTAACACAAAACTTTTCCTGAAATAACGTACCAATGCTTTTTCCATATTTCGATTCTACGACTCAAATTATGCCTAGATATTAAATTTTATAATTTCTGGTGAGAAATTTATGAAGAAATTGAAAAATTTATCTTCGCGAATTTTTTTTCAGTTTGAGCCAAGAATAATTAGCGAACTTTTTAATTTATAGCAACCTATTTTCCTTTGCCCCCCCCTTTTTTTTTTTTTTTTTTTTTTTTTTTGGTGTGTGTGTGTGTGTGTGTGTGTGCACAAACGGGGAAAAAGGCATCTTTCATACTTTTAAATTTTAACAAAATGCGTACACCGCATTTTCGTTATTATCACTTATAATAAATATGTCAAATTTCAAAACGCTCCAAAATGTAAATTCACGTATATCCTAGGAAATTTGAATAAAAAACTCAAATTGTTTGCAGGTATGGTTAGAAACACATGTACTTTAAGATGATGGAAAAAATTTTATGGGTTATAATTCAAATTCTTTTTTTCGAAAAATTTATAAAAATTATTTAAAAATAAATCATAAAAAGTTGGCGAATTTTATTTGGAATGAACCTAAATTTCGAATTAGGGAAGAAAGAATCAAGTAAGTTAAAAAAAAAAAGAGATATAATAAATATATCAAGTCAATTAACATGAGGAGCTAAAATTTTGAGAGCTAATTTTTTAAAAACTACTCTTGCGAATTCAGAAGTCAAAACAAAATCAGCGTAATATTTGCAAAATTTTCACAGGATAGTTTCGATGTTTTACGACCCCTCTTCAGCTGCAAAACGCAAAGAACAAGAAATATGATTAGATAGATAGAAAGCCTGAAGAATAAAAGTGGCGCCATCTGTTGCGAAACCAGAACTAAAACATAATTCTCTAAAGCCGAAGGTAAATTTGGATTGATTAGGATCGTTAACTAGAACAGAAAGATTTTTTGATGTGATGCCTCTAGAAATCGTTCTCCAATGGAAGATTTTTTTGAATAATTTTAGCGCAGAAAATTAAAGTGTGATTTTCGACCAACAATGTTGAGCAACAGAAACTTCTGTGTTTCCTTTTTTTAAATGCCTCTGTTCCTTGATGCGAAATTTTAAGGCTCTCTTTGGGGCCAATGTAAATAAACCACACTGGCAAGGAATCCTATAAATACCCCAGGAATTCATATCCGAATGGGTCTTGAGTATAGAAGTCCGAATTTTATTGATGGGAGAATAAACACAACCAAAGTTAAATTTCTGAAACTGTGCAAAATTTATGCTTAATTGATGGAAAGAAGGGAATGACAACAGAATTTTTTAATCTCCTAAAATAAGAGTGTGGCTTTATGTGTTGAGATGAGAATTTTTTAACTGCTTGATTAATAATGTTGGTGAAAATCCCCTGTCAATAGCTATTCTTTTAAATAATTAGTTCTTCATCAAGGGCTAGTTTGGAGGGCAAACTGAAAGCACGGAAAACATAGGAATAAAAAATGAAGCTAACTTTTGTTTAGTCGGGACATGATTAAGTGTGGTGGAGGCAAACAGATGAAGTTTACGGTAAACGTAGTACTGAAATTGGATGTTTTACGTGGCCCAGAATGTCGAGAAACGGGAGAAGCAGTCTCAAGTTCAAAGTGAACTGAATAGCAGGATCGATAGAATTCATTGTTAAAGAACTTTATTTAATCATCTTATTACCTTCAAACAGGGTAAAGTTCGTCTACGTAGCGGAACCATCCGGAAGTTTAAAGTTTCAACAGTTTGATTCTAATATGCATGTAGATAAGCCAGGATGGGACTGAGAGGCTTCCCATGGCTAATCCCTCAGTTTGCTTGTAAATATTTTGGAAAACAAAATGAGTTTGTTTCAAACAGAGTCTGAGAGAAATTAGGCTCATCTTGCGATGCAGAGAAATGAAATTCGCGAAGTCTGGTTTCTAGACCTGGTTTCTAGTCTGGTCTATTTTGTTGTTTGACTTCTGAATTAGTATTTATTCGGCGTGTTATTGTGTCTTAATTACTCTTGCGATTTTTACGAAAGAGTTTGGCATAATCTGAGTCGTAGATTCGAAATATGGAAAAAAATGAGCATGTCATTTCAGAAAAAGTCCGATTCTGTAATTTTAATTGTAAAAATTGTTCTTTTAATTATTTTAACTGTATTTGGTGCTTTATGTGTTTCTCTATGTTTCATTTTTTAATGAAAATATTTAGAGTTTTTATGTATTTTTGCCTTGCCGCGAAGTGAGAACTGGATTAATTGAATGAAAAATATATCTCTAACAAAATTCGAGGAAATAAGTTTAAATGAAGTGCTGGAAAAAATGCATATAAATTAATACTCCATACAAAAAAGTCATGTGGTGTACACATCAGCTGTTTTCTTTTATTATTCGTGCCAGAAAATTGCAAATAATTTCTTTTTAGAAAATTGTTGTACTTAATTGTATTTAACAATTTGTTCCCATTAAACTATGATAAATTATTTTTCTCTTTTTAGTTCCTTAATGTATTATGAGTTTTAAATAATAATTTATTTAAACGTATTTCTAGCATAATTTAATACTATAAACTTTCATGTAAAATTATTTGTAACGACTTCATACTTAAAAAAGGAACTTTTTGATTGTCCACATCCTCGGTTTTAACATTCGGTATATTTGCAGTACTTTTGCATGTTTTCAAGTACATACGCTGCAACAGCTAATTCATGCATGTGCATATTTGTGTGCAGGTGAATTAACATGTCAGTTGACCGTCATTTCTCTGAACTATGATACCCATCGGTTGTAACAATGTAAACATCGAGATTCTTGTTTTTCACTGACAATTTCTTGTTTCTTTCTCATAAAATGCTTTTATTATTGTTTACGAAATGAACATATAAGCTGTAGATATAGCAATAAAAAAGCTTTTCTTCTATTTATAAAATCACTAAATAGTTAGCGACTTGTGATACGTGTGCAGATAATCAGGAAGTACAAAAAAAAAAAAAAAAAAAAGAATCTTGCTATATACATACGAGTTTGCTATGGATGTTCTATAATGCGTTTTACAATAAGAAAGTTTTGACTAAATAGTATAAAAACGTCTTCAAAAGAAATCATATGTGTTTGATAAGAATATTTTTTTCCTTTAGGAAACTATTTGTAGAGGGGCTGAAAGAGTTTCTGAAGAGTATCAAAATATTCATGATGAAAAAAGAAAGCTTGTGTATCGATTTCGGCGAAACTTTTTCTCCTTGATTACCGAATATGAAGTCGAAGAAAAAAAACTGAAGAAATTCAATAAAAGCCATAAAGTAAAAATCATTCTAAATTACATTTCTTTTATTTTAGTAAGATAATGTTGCAGGCAGGTAATATATTATTACAGTTTGAAGATGATTTTGTTTGCATTAGTTAAATTCGAACATTTTGAAGCTCACGAATTTCTGGCATACTTTGACTTCTGGTAGGATGGTGGTGGTGTGTTGAGTTATGGCAAAGCAAACGAGGGCTATCTGCCTAAAGGGAGGGATGCCTTCGTGGAGGACTTTCTAAGGAAAACTGGCTCGTATACACGCTACGCATGGGGAAAACCACGAAAACGCCCATGCAGCCAGCCCGTTCGCGGGATTCTAACCTCGGACCGAACTACCAGTGTTCAGCGACTTTACTGCTCGGGCGCTGGTGGGCCTTGACTTCTGGTAGGAGAATTAGTAAATTAAACTTAAAAATTTGATTAAGTGACATGAATGGTTTAAAACTGCTCACCTTTTATCTTGATGGCACTTCGTAAACTCAAAATTAGTGAAATTCTGGGTGAATCTGTTTTCTTGCATTGGATAAATCCTTCTTTGGGTGCATTTAATGAATTTTTTCACATCTTTAGTGTTAACCATATAACCCGCCCCGATTTGGCGCCATTGAAAACGGAAATTCAGAAATCGAAATTCTAGTTTCTTTGAATTTTTTTCACGCTTACCAATGGCCAAAGAGAGGGCGGCCAGAAAAGACCAGGATTCAAATCCGATTAACGCGGTGGCCTTCTGTTTCATTACAAGGCACATGTTACTGATTTAAAAAAAAGGAGTTAATAAACATAATCTGTATTCACACGCGTGTTGATCCCCCTTTTCCTTCTAATTTTACCGCTTGAAAACTGAGAGGTAAAAGTATGCCGTGTATATTAATCCTGAATAGACTTTAATGTGCTATGTTTAATGCGATAAACATAGCAAGCACATTAAAAAGTACATCTAAATAATACACAATATTATTATATTGTGTATTTCAAAGAACTTCTCAGTGACAGGAATATTCTATTTACTTACACAATATATTTTAATTTTTGTGCATACATTTAAAATTTTTGCCATAAATTGGGAGTTTTTAAATTATACTCTAGGCCCACCAACGTCCGAGCGTAAAGTCGTTGAATACTGGTAGTTGATCCGGGTTTAGAATCCTAGCGAACGGGCTGGCTGCATTGTATTTTTGTTACTAAGAGATTACATTTCTTATAGTACTATAGTAGCGTCTTTTAATGTAAAAGATGAAGTGTGTCTTTCCCTACAAAGAAAAATTATTTCTCCAAATGTGCTAACTTCGTAAATGTATGTTAATATTAGGTGCAGAGTTTTTTTAATAAATGTATTCTTAATTTAAAAGGTTAATATTAAAGTCATTGTAAGTTAGGGGCTCACCAGCGGCCGAGCGGTAAAGTCGCTGAACACTGGTAGTTCGACCCGAGGTTCTAATCCTGTCCCCTTAGATAGCCCTCGAGACTTTGCCATAATCACACATACACCCATTTGCAACGTGGATATGAGCCAATTTCTCTTAGACAGCCATCCACGAAAACATCCCTTCCATTAGACAGATGGCCCTCGAGTGCTTTGCGATAGTTAAATAAACCAAGCAAATCAAATCATACGTTGAAAAAAATACGCGAGGAGGTGAACTATTCAATAAAATATTAAAGGGGGAAAAAAAGGACATGCTTAAGTATAATAAGCAGACGAAACTTCTCTTTTTGAACCTATTATTATAACTGGAATAAAATGCAACAATAGTTTTTCATGTTGCCTTGGCATATAATGAAGGATAAAATTGTCTAAATCGTAGTTTATTGTTTCAATATTAAAACTGAGGTTCAAAATTAACATTAGAATGCAATGTTTTAAAACAAAATTACTTTTGATCCTCTAATAATTTAATAATAAAAAAAATATTATCAAATATTCCCTTCACACGTTTTTTAAGTAAATTTGAATTGAGATACATATAACTCCCCCCTTTTTTTCTGTAAAAATCATATTTTCATGAACTTTAGTAGAATTTTGGAACGGCAGCAGCAATTAAAAAAAAAAAAAGCTACTTAATTTATTTTATCAAGATCTGTCTCGTGTTTTTTAGTTAAAAACTCAAGAGACATAACAGCATAAAAATTATTTAATTCCATACATGACATTATTTAAAAAATATTTGCGTCTATTTTTAAGTATATCAGTATTGAGTTTCATTATATATGCATGAGTTACAGATATATGCTTATAGGGGCATCATGAGCGAAAGAAATTGGAAGCAAAGCTTTTTCAACTTTCTGAAACTCTGAAAAATTTGATTAACCAGTTTTGCGAGGTAATGTACCTTTTTGAAATTATTTTGCAAGTAAAAAAAAAAATTCTTACAATAACAAATCAATTTTGTTTTTAATTTTTATTCTTTTATGACTTATAACTTGACTAAACTTCTATTGTGTGCAACTGAAAAATGTTTGATTCTCGTGCAAATTTATATCATGATTTCTTTGTTGCCTGTAAAAGCATTTTTAGTAGTTAAAATAATTCAAATATGTGTTGTTTTTCGTACAAAAATTTACGTTACACAAGCCACATAGCACAAAAACATCCTGAGGATGTTGCTCACGGGATAAGCGCACATCCTCAAGATATCCGGGAATATCCCGCTAGCCTCCTTAACACATCCTCCCGAATGTTTAATGTCACATCCCAGTATATTCTCAGGACATCCTATCTAGCTCCCATTGACAGAATACGGGATGTTATTAGGATCTGAAGTCCTATCCACCATACCTTAAGGACATCCCAGAGTATTCCACTAACCTCCTAAACACATTCTACTGAGTGCTTAATAGCATATCCCAGTATATCCTCGAGACATATCAACTGTGTCCCATTGACAACATATGGGATGTTATCAGGACTTTAAGCCTTCTTATTAAATTCTCAGAACATCCCGGAATGTCCTAATATCCTCTTAAACGCGTCCTCCCTGGTACTTAATGTCACATCCCTTAGTATATACTCAGGACATCATTTAGCAATCTAGACAATTTAGCAATTGTCTAGATCAGGGGTGGCCAAGCTCCTTGGTAGTCCGAGCCATACTTCAAAATTTGAAGTTTTTCGCGAGCTGCAATTAAATACATATTTAAAAGGTATGCAAAAAAAGTATTAAAATTTTTTATAGAAATTATATTTATTGAAAACATATAACTAAAAGTACAAAATGTGTGTATTGAATTTAAATATTAAAAATTAAAGACATTTATTTTACTTCTCTTGATAATTCTTTAAAATTTAGTAAATAATTGGTGACAGCACTTCTCAGTAATTCTTTGAGATGCTGGTTACTTAACAGTGATCCGTGTTTGGATTTCACGAATTTTAAAGTGGAAGAAAATTATTCACATAAGTACGTTGTTCCGAGTATTGAAATAATTCGACAAGCAGTGTTTTTTAATTCAGGATACTTCGATTCTGGTACATTTCCAAATTCAGTATCGGCGTCGACTTATATTTTAATTGTAGAGCTTGATCTTCTTTGCATCTCTATTAATTCTAATTTTCCATATGCTTTTTGGGTCATAATTATATTGGAAATGGGAAAACTCACATTGAATTATGTTAATTTTAAATGGATTCAGAAAAAAATCAAGAGACGATTTAAAATATTTCAAGTCTTGAAATCTATTTTGGAATTCCGTCAATATTCCTTCTAGCTTTTTTATATACTCGTTGAGTTTTTCTTGTATAATATTGAAACAAATTTTTTTAGTTCAAAGAAAATGACAAAATGTTTTATTTTTAAATGTCCTTTTGAAAAAGCTGTAATTTAGTATGAAAACTAAATATACACTGTGAGAGATCCGATATTATTTTATCTTTTCCCTGCAGTTGTAAATTCAGTGTTTGCAAATGTTCCATGACATCAGTCAAAAACATTAAGTCTTGTAACCACGCGTCATCGTCTAATTCTGAATAGATTATTTACTTTTCTTTTAGGAATGCAGTTATTGGATCAAACAAATCTACAAATCGATTTAATACGTTGTAGCTAGATAACCGTCTAACAATGGAAAATAAATTATTGTCATTTGGAAGTTCTTCGTCCTTTAATTCTTCAAGGAAATTTTTGAATTGTCGATGATTTTTTGCATTGGTGCGAATGTAATTTACAATGTGTAACACTGCTTTCATAACATCAGGATATTTTAAATATTTTGTAAAAAGAGATTCTCTTGGTGAATTATGCAGCGAATCGGTATGAATTGTGGAATTTGAAAATAATCTTTTTTTAAAAACCAAGCCCATCAGTTGCATGCTATAGTTTATTAAGAGGCACATCAAAAGTTTTCTTATTATGGAATCTAATTCATTTTAATATCGACACCGCAGGTTGACTTTTGAAATTTATGAATCTAATATTCTTCTTAACAACGAAAGCAGGTGAAACAAACGTATGAAAACTGCCAAATGCGGAAGATCTGTGATATCTGTCTATTCGCCAAGGGCTAAGCTGAATGCAATACAGTTCTTCAAATCGTTTTTAAAATTATATTCAAGAGATGTATTAATTGCAGTTATACGTCGTTCGCTTGTGTGTCTTGACATGGGAATTTGCGAAACAGCTTTGTGCAATGCTGCATTATTTGGATCTAAAACTTTAAGTACATCTTCCAAGTTTTTCTTAATAAAGTCTCCCTCTCCATACGGGCGTTTTGCACGAGCAATATTCCAGGCAGTAACAAAACTGGCTTCAACCACATTATTAGCTTGATTGCTAAAGGTCATCAAAATTGACTGTTGTTTATTTAATTTTAAAGAAGCAAGTTATTTGATCTTAATTTGGAATTTTGTGGATACTGATCAGAAAACTGAGAATGATTGGTTTCATAATGTCGACGTAAATTGCTAGCTTTATAATTTTTGACCGTAGAATTATAAATAACACATATGTTTTTACGTTATAAAAAAATTCCTCTCCGACTAATTATTAAAACTTCTATTTTCTTGCTTGTAATTTCTTTTTTTTTTTTTTAATTTCGTTCTCTGACATCATATTTTTTAAAGAACTGAAAATAAATGAAGAAATTTAGAAAATACAAGGTTTGTGTTATTAAAACAATAACAACACATGTTACATACTACGAAACAAATTATAGTTAACTTACGAAAAATTACAAGTTATATCCGTAGCAAGAGTGATACAAACTATTTTCTCCGGAGCACAGTGTCAACTGTCCTTTGCAATGGAAGTTTACAAATTCAAAATCGGTCTGGAGTCGGTCGATTACGTAGATCGTCATCCGTCCAGAAGCAATCGGCCGGATAAAGCCTTGGCTCCCATATGTTAGTTATAATTCACGAGGCAGTCGGAGAAAAAAATCCGACGAACGGGAACTGTTACGCCACTGTTAATGTTCGTTCGCGCAGCTTTCGATGAGTCATACCATTCTTAACTTGGACGGAAAAGAAATTTGTTACAACGTTGCACTTTCATATTTGTTGTCAGTAATTTAAAAAACATTTTGAAACACATACGGAGTGATAATTTTTGAAAATGCACAAAAATACACAAAAATGAAAAGGGAATTCGAGTACATTTATCGAGAGCCACAAATAGTTCTTCAAAGAACCGCATGTGGCTCGCGAGCCACAGGTTGGCCACCCCTGGTCTAGATCCTCTCTGTCCTTTTATTTTTAAAATATTCAAAATCTTTTGGTTACTTTTAAACATCTTCTAGCTCAAAATTAAATTCTCCAATATTCAAAATTAAGTTATATATAATTTATATGCGTTAAATTATGTATAATTTAATTATGCTCTGAAGACTTAAATATTTCTGCGCATCATATTCCTAGGATATGTTTGAGATCACGTAATAATGTTCTATGAACTAGTAAATTTTAACTCTTTTAAATTGAAATTTTGTTTTATTTAATAATTCTTGAATAGATCTGAAAATATGCAACAAACTCAAAATGATGAGTCAGTGTAAAATGCTGCAGAAGAAAATTTTATTCTTATTTTTTAAATTATTGTTTAAATTTATTCTGCTACTCATAATTTTCAGTCGTTAATAATATAAATGTCTGGATGAATATTCACTCACATTTATTTGAATAACTATGTAAATTATGTGAATGTAATTAAATGACTTCTGGCATTTACATCAAAATAGGGAAGGGCTTTTAAGTGGCATAAAATATTTTATTACATTTTATACTTTTACATCATTCAAATTTGGAAAAATTATTATCCAGTAACATAAATTACTGATAATAAAATATACCGATTAAAATAATTTGAGAAATAATACTACTGTTTAAAATAATTATATTTTCAAAGCCTGTTAAATAGGAAACTTTGAATTTCATGATTAATATCCCCTCCATTTGAAAGCTTATTGCTAAAGAATTTTTCTATATTGGAAGTACTCAAATTTATAAATTTAGAGCACATACATTTAAATTGCTGTCTAAACGTCTCCTGTGTTACAGTTTCTCATGTTTGCTATTATAATTTATATTTTGAGCAAATACTCAAATTTAATTTAATTAGAAATTCTAAAATTCCCTTCTTTCCTTCTCTGAATTCCCTTTTAATTTCTAAATTCTATGAGTTATATTTCGTAAATAAATTTCAGTAAGTGTTTCAAATTAATAAGTTTTGAAATTAAAACTCTTTAAAAGGCCGCACAGGTTTTAGATATATTTGCGCATTTTCTTGAGATCTATTCCTGACAGTTTGGTTTCACATCAGCAAGAAGAGGTTTGCTGATCCCAAAGTTGTAAAATGAATCTGTAATGTTTTCGAAGACAACCCATTGTTCAACAGCTCTGATGTCATTCCTCAGTCGGCCCACCAGCGGCTGAGTCGCTGAACACTGGTAGTTCGATATGGGTTCTATTACAAGCGAATAGGTTGGCTGCATGAACGTTTTCATGGTTTTCTCCATGTGTAACGTGTATGCGAGCCAATTTTCCTCCAAAAATTATCCACGAAGACGTCCCTCCAAATACGCAGATAGACATCATGTGCTTTATGCTAATCAACCAAAATAAAGAATAAACGAAAACTTACAGTACTAGCAGAAAGGAATTCAACTGATTTAAGCACGTAAAGAATATATTTTATGTCTTTTGGTATACTATAACTTAAATAATGTTTAACTTACAGTAATAAGTAAAAATATAGTAAGTAAAAAATGATAATATATTAATTAAGTAATATATTAAGTAAAAAATTACACTTGCACCACTTTTATTGATATAAGAGGATTCGATTTCGTATAAAATTAGTAGACGAATAAAGACAAATAAAGAGACTAATAA